GGGAAAAAACCGCGGCGTAGCTGACGGTCATGGACGTCTACGACATCGCCTCGGCCGTCGGGCAGGAGTTCGAGCGGGTCATCGACCAGCACGGCTGCGAGGCCATCGCCCGCCTCATGCCCAAGGTGGTGCGGGTGCTGGAGATCCTGGAGGTGCTGGTGAGCCGCAACCACATCAACCCCGAGATGGAGGAGCTGCGCCTGGAGCTCGACCGCCTGCGCCTGGAGAGGATGGACCGCATCGAGAAGGAGCGCAAGCACCAGAAGGTGCGGGCGGAGAGGGGCCCGGGGCCTTGGCGGGGCTGCGCGGATGCTGCTCGGCCTCGCTGAGGCTTTGGGGCTTCTTGTTGGTTGGTTTGTTTTTTTGTTTGTTTTTTTTTTCTTCTTCCTTCCCTCCTGGAAGTTTCCTTCCTCCTTCCCTTTCTCCACCCCTTCCCCGGCCTCTGCGTTTCCTTCCCCTCGCTTCCCCCCGGATAAGGACTCCTGCTCCAGCCTCTCCTCTCCTGAACGGAGAGGGTAGTGCTGCTTCCCACTAGGCCAGAAAAGGTCACTGACAATGATGCGCTTTTCTCTCTGGAGCCGTGAATGATTTAGCAGTCTAGTCTTCCCGGTGGCGCGCTCAACGGGTAGGCAAGTCGTAGGAGGACCGAGTGATTTCAGGTCAGCGTTAGAGCTGAAGAGTAGGGGAGAGCGTTCTCCCCGATTCCTGCTCCCCCCTCTGACGGTAAGACGTTGTCCCTTGGCTCCATCTCGGGTGGTCGCAGTGTTCTCTGTCCCTGCTGCCCTAAATCCCATCGGTGGAGATCGTTTCCCACATCCTGTCACTTTAGCGTGACAGGACAGCAAGAGTTACTCCACTTACTGCAGTGTATGTGGCAGATGTGCTCATCAGGCTGCCCAAACAACCGATTTGAAGTTGAAAGAAATGGTTCTTCTAGCACGTGACTGTGCTAAGTCATCCCTGCTGCCTCATTCCTTTTCTACTTGCACACACAGATTCAGAGTAAAGTGGAAACAGGGAGCTTCTGGAAGAGAGACCTCAAACTTCAAGAGTTAGTTTGGATTTATTTAGGAAAGTTTCTTAGGTTTTTTTTTAAGTCAGCTAAGGGACTTCTGCGTAGCATATGAAAAATCCAGGACAATTCTTCCAACATTTTGCAAAGTACACTTAGGACAGTGTCTCTAGAAAGGATGGTGGAAAGTTTTTAATGAATAAAGCCCTGGTAAGTCTCCAGAGGATGAAATCTTTTACTGGCCCAGAGAATGCACGCAAGTACAACGTGTACGAAATCCACACCTTTATCTGTCTAGCAAACCTCATATCTAGCTTGGAGGCAAGTGGGTAGTCTGTTTTGCTGCAGGCCCTCTGCTAAAATCAATTTTGCTCTTCCTGAGCTCTAGCTCTCTGAAGGTTTTTGTGAGCATGTCACCTCTGGGGAGAACTGCAACAAGTCAGATTCTTTATCGCTGGATATATTAAAAATAAATGCTGCATGGTGAACGAGATATGGTAGCTGGGTTTGGTAGCAACACCCAGTAGGTTGGCACAAGCTAATATTCTGTGTAGATGCTCCTGCAATCCGTGCATGTGTTAAAAGGTTTCCTAAACATGTCAACTGCATAATGTTATACTTGCCGGATGTCAACTTTTCCCCTGCCAGTTAACTCGTCCATACCCTGCCAATTACCCCTTTATACTCTGCCAACTTTCCTAATAGTCACAAAGTGACTCAGGCACTGCTCAGACAATCCAGATGAATGCTGGAAACACAATTTTAACAGGGAAAATAACATGTATGCACGAATACGACACTTTTTAAATCAAGTTTTCCCCCTTGATTCCCAGCCCACTAAGGTGGTAAAAAACAGTGGTGTCAAATCCATTTGTCTTCCAGTGTGAGGGTTTGAAGACTAACTCTTTCATAGGACAGGTGCTCATAAGCAGAAAAGGTCAGAGACTGAGAAGTGTTTGGGACCCGAAAGCCTCCAAGAAACCAATCCAAACAAGCTTTTAGTGGTTTCCAGCCAGCATCAGTTTGATAGGTTTTTAGCATTCAAGAGGGTCTTGATACGGGATTCTCTTTTGCCTGTGCACCTGGCTCAGCTCTGGCTGGGGTTTCCTGAGCTGCCGGGCACCTACTGGCCCACAGATCCCCTGCCTTCTCTCTCCGATACTGTCGCTAATGAGGATTCGGAAGTTCATTTGTGCTCCACTTCCTTGGGTTCTTCAATAGCAGTAAATGGGAAAGTTTTCCTAGGCAAACTTTAGCATAATTGTGCTTTTATGGTACAGGCATATATAAAATACACAAGTTTAGATAGTTCGAGTTTGTGCATGTGTGTTCTACTTGTTTTTTTCTAATCAGTATACTTATAACAGCAACAAATGTGCTGGTTTTATTGTCTGAACCAGGTCAGCACATTATTCTAGTTACAGAATTATAGGCTGCAACATCACTGCAAACTGTCTAGATCTGTGGCGAAATAAAGCTTCCTGGCAGATTTGCATTTGTCTCAAGATAAAGTGTTTCAAGTAAAGGTAATGGTGATCCGTGAAACTTTCTGTACTTCTTAATAGTTAAGCCTGCATAGTTATAAATAACATATAAATTATTGTAAATCTGTTTCTCATATAGTGTTTTCTACAAATCTCTTAGCACGCTCAAAGGCATTATAAAATGAGAGCAACGCAATAATAAACACTAGAATGAAATGGTATTTCATTTGGACCTCAAAATCAATGGGAACATGATTTCCCATTAACAGAGCATACATTCAAAGCAGAAAGCTATCCTGTCATCTCTCAGCAGAGCTTATTTTAGCCTAGAGCTGTGCTTGGCTGTTGTTGTCTGAGTGTGTTGTTGTTAGGTAGGAAGGGGGCATGCTGGATGAATGTAGAAGTCAGCAAATGACTCAGCCCGACTCCAGTGATCCACACGCAGCTTTTTTTGTTTTAAGCACATATGTGAGATTGGAGCACAGAATGCCCCCCACTGCAGAAATATGATTGATGGCAAAGACTTTTGGAACAAATGAAGTTCTAAATATGACTGCCTTTTCTTAAGGAAGTCTTTATATTTTCTGTCCTAATTTGACCTTTACAAGGATTGGTGACAGCTGCTCTTGACACACAGTGTCCTGACAAATAGGCGCTGTTGTTTTGAACAGTTTCACTGTCGCTAACATAGATGTCACTCAAAACATTCAATATAGAACAATTTACGTAAGAAGAAGCATAATTTTGTCTTGTGTTTACCATTTGCACTAGGAGCTTTGGATTTGTTGCATAGTATCATGCACTCCTCATTATTTTACACTTGTGTTTCATAACACAAATGCAGACTAGAGATGCTACTCTGTCAAAATGGGCATGCCTAACCCTGACTGATGTGATTACAGCCTATGCTGTGATGTTTCTGGGGCATTTATAACAGCCTTTTAGGCTGCCACCTGGGATGCAGGAGGTAACTCTTGGTCCTATTTGGTTACCTTGTCTAACACAGCAGTCCCCTCAATCTGGTCCTCACAGTGAAGTGGGGAGTAAGAAACCATTCTTTGGATAACTTGCATGTCAAAGTTGTTTGCATCAGGAATTGTCTCCTTGCATATTTACATTCGGCATATAGCATAAGGAGACTTTGATATTCAATACACTTCTTGATGCTGGCCTCAGAAAAACTGAGACTACTTTGTATTTGTTAGAAGATATCATGTAATTGTTTTCTATAAGAATCCTGGGATTGTCACTAGTTTGATATGCAAATAGTCTCGTCAAAGGCTCTTAACATGTTTAAAAATATAAATGTGTTGTCCTGGTCTACCCTTTAGGAATTAGAACTGGTAGAGGATGTCTGGAGAGGGGAAGCACAGGATCTTCTTACTCAAATTGCACAGCTGCAGGAGGAGAATAAACAACTGATGACAAACTTGTCTCACAAAGACATTAATTTCACTGAAGAGGAGTTTCAGAAGCATGAAGGCAAGTTTGACGTTTCAAATTCAGTACTTACTTTTGTCATAAAAAGCAGTACTCTTATCAAAATATTTTGACTCAATATTCCAGCTTTTTTGCTCTAGATTAATGCAGGACTTTTTCTGGTTACCTGAATAGAAAAGCTCTGAGCAAATGAGACATGATAAGAGGTGGGGGCAGGAGGGAAAGAAAAGCCTGAATAGTTCTTTGTTTGTCCAAGAAGCGTCTTTAAAAGTAAATTCTAGCTTCATTTTTGGTTTATCACTTTATTTTGTTAGTTAGCAGGTTGCAAAAAACATTTTTACACCTTATGTTTTCTAATGCAAACAGAATAATCCATTCAGCGTTGTTTATTTCACATTGCTGTGCACAAAAACAAGTGCGAGTGTTGATATACTCAGGATAATTGCTTGTAAAGCAGCAACTCTTGGTGGCTTGAGAACTGGCTGGATGGCAGAGCTCAGAGGGTTGTGGTCAGTGGCGCAGAGTCTAGTTGGAGGCCTGTAGCTAGCGGTGTCCCCCAGGGGTCGGTCCTGGGTCCAGTCTTGTTCAATGTATTCATCGATGACCTGGATGAAGGCATAGAGTGCACCCTCAGCAAGTTTGCTGATGATACTAAACTGGGAGGAGTGGCTGACACACCAGAAGGCTGTGCTGCCATTCAGAGGGACCTGGACAGGCTGGAGAGGTGGGCGGAGAGGAACCTCCTGAAGTTCAACAGAGGCAAGTGCAGGGTCCTGCACCTGGGGAGGAATAATCCCATGCAGCAGTACAGGCTGGGGGCTGACCTGCTGGAAGGCAGCTCTGCCGAGAAGGACCTGGGAGTCCTGGTGGACAACAAGTTGACCATGAGCCACCATGTCCCTTGTGCCCTTGTGGCCAAGAAGGCCAATGGTATCCTGGGGTGCATTAGGCAGAGTGTTGCCAGCAGGTGGAGGGAGGTGATCCTCCCCCTCTACTCGGCTCTGGTGAGGCCACATCTGGAGGACTGTGTCCAATTCTGGGCTCCCCAGTACAAGAGAGACATGGCACTACTGGAGAGAGTCCAGTGGAGGGCTATGAAGATGAATAGGGGACTGGAGCATCTCTCCTATGAAGAAAGGCTGAGGGAGCTGGGCCTGTTCAGCCTGGAGAAGAGAAGACTGAGAGGCGATCTCATCAACGTGTACAAGTATCTGAAGGGAGGGTGTCGAGAGGATGGGACCAGACTCTTCTCCATGGTGCCCAGTGACAGGACAAGAGGCAACGGGCATGAACTGAACCACAGGAAGTTCCATCTGAACCTGAGGAAAACATTCTTTACTGTGAGGGTGACAGAGCATTGGAACAGGTTGCCCAGAGAGGTGGTGGAGTCTCCTTCCCTGGAGATATTCAAAACCCGTCTGGATGTGATCCTGGGCAATATGCTCTAGAGGTCCCTGCTTGAGCAGGGGGGTTGGGCTAGATGATCTCCAGAGGTCCCTTCCAACCTCAACCGTTCTGTGATTCTGTGAACTCGGTATTCTTTTAGCTGAGTTATACTAATTAATCCACCATATGGGGATATTGTGGGAGAACATCTTTAGAGACTGATTTTAGCTGGTTTACCTGCCTTTGGGTTTCCACACCCATATTAAGACATTTCCAGCCAGTTTAGAAGAGGTGAAGAGACATAAAATCCAGGGAGTGTGTGAATCCTAAAGAGCTGAAACAACTGATTAATTCATGGGCAGCTTCTTTCTTGAGACAGAATGAAGTTCAAGACAAATGGTTCTGATTCACAGCTGCAGGTAGATTTCACTGCAGCAACTGAAACGATTACCATCCTCATCTCTTAGCCACACCTCAGCAAGCAGCTCTTTCTCAAGAGCAGGAGCAGATGAACAGATGTATATTCGTTCCACGGGTCATAGCATGTTATTTGATTCTGCTGGCTACCAATTTCATTTCACAATATCCTACTGGGGTGTAAGCTGAGGAGTTGAAGGAATGACTGTGCAGCTTTGGGAATGAGGCAGCCTCGAGCCGAGAGATGGGGTGGACAGCTGAGAATGGAACAGCTTCATTGCAGCAGCAAAACCTTCCTGTGATTGTGAGTCAGTCTGGAAGCGGGTGGCTTTCTGAACTATTAGGTCACGGGCAGGACGCTGGTTCCCTGCTTCAAGCCACAGTGCTCCTGTTGCAGTATATTCTGATTATCAGCAAAGTCGTAACTAGGATTAAACTGAGGCTTGCAGTAGGTGGATGAAACTCGATCCAATGCTGGAGAAGTTGCACCTGCTCCCCCAGCACCGAATTCAGTCCAAAGGTTGAGTACCGCTCGCTTGCCCTGGGAGGTGTGTAATGAAATCTTTTGGAAATAAAAATCATTAAACCTCTCAAGATCACTACTTCTCTATAACAAATGCAGCTCTTCCAATTTAATAGTCAGTCTTCAAGAGGCAGCTCGACATCAGCCTACAAAGAGTCGGAATGGCAGTGATGAGTCATGGGCCATGAAGACTATGACATGTTGTCATAAAGAACCAACTTCCCCTTTGTTTTCTCCCCTCTTTTTTTCCAGTGAGTATCTAGCTCACTGCAGCTCGTTACTTTGTATTTAAGCATAGCCATACGCCTTACATTCAGCTAGCCAAGCAAATATCAGGCATGCTTTTCATGTTATTTTTACTTTGTGTCTACCCAAGTATAATAACACAAACAAAACACCTTCCAGAGATCAGATTCTGGGACCACTAATACTCATTAGTCAAAATCATTAGTTTAAGTCAAATTACATTAATTTATAGCGACCTCAACTTGGGACATATTATGTGAAACTCCCAACTGTTTTCCTTTTGGGAAATTTTGCCATTAATGAATGGGGGCAGTTTTGTCTCAGATAGTTTGTTTGGACGGGAAATGTGAAAAAGCACATAGACAGCTTTTTTCCCTCTCCATTATTTAATCTGACACACGTAGAGTCTACAGATGCAGCTTTTCAAGCCAAATACTTTTTTTTAGCTGGGCTAACTTTGACCAGCCTCCAGTTTCGATATCTCAGCATGATTTAGTATTGTGATCATGTCTCCCCTTAGTGGCTAACCCCTGGGATTAACAGCTTGCTGCTTACTCACTAGACAGTTGAGGGAGTTATTTTTAGCACAGGCAACAGAGGCCAGTGATTTGGGTGTGCAAGGCTCTGAGATTCAATCCTTGCCAATTAAGAGTCACATCAGAGTTCACAGAGCCTCACTGTACTGTAATGAAAGCATTTATGAGAGAGGTAGCTGCAATCCCATCTAAACAGGAGGGCTCTGCGGAGAGAGCGTCCACGGAGAGTCTGAGCAGAGCAAGGTTCGTGGGAAAGATGCATGTGGCAGAATACAAAATGTATAGGAGGGGTCAGATGAATCTACAGCGTTCATTAGTGCTACTCCTCCCTGAGCTCAAACCGAGCTTATTTGATGGTGCTGACTGACCAGAATATCCTAGTAAAATGCCACGAGCGAACTTGACCCAGCACGTGTCAAACAGGACAAGCAGGCTGCTGTACTGCTAATGCGAGAGGAGCTGCTGTCTCAGACAGAGCAGCTATGGTAGTACAGACAAGAAGCAGGATGGCAGCGGACGGTCGTGTGAACCTCCTGTGCTTGGCTGCTGAGGAACCTACAGTCCCCTTGCAAAAGTGGAGGCAAGCTTCTATTCTGAATATTTACATAGTGGCGGTGCCACAGACCCTGGCCTGCTGTGCTAGATGCTGTATAAACATGGTGGTAAACAGGTCCCCTAAGCATAAACATGAAGGATGCTCATTTTTAATTTTTCTTTTTCTTTTTTTAACTGCTTTCCTTTCTCTTGCTCTGTGGAACAATGCAGTGATCACAGCAGTTCACAGGAAGCTGCTGAATAGGACATGCCTAGGGAAGCCAGCTGGGTGTGCCATTTAAGATCTTGCAGATATTAGACTTTGAGTCATTTGAAGATAATTACTTTACATTTAGGGCACTTAGTGATTTCCCTCCCCTCTTTCTCAGCGCCTGGGAAAATGGAAGGAGATGATGTGACTGTTTCACAAACACTTCCCACCTTTCCTTTTCCCTCCTCCTAAAATAAGAAGGATAATGTAGTGATCTGAGCACACAATTGAAGTCTTTCATGCTCACCAAATGTTAGGGAGAAAAATGAGCACAGTGGGAGGAAAAGCAGTCAGCACTGAAATGGTACTTTATTCTTTAAATAGCACCTGCTATCTAGAGATCTCAAAGCATCTCACAAGTACTAATGAATACAGCTGTACTCACCATTCTGAGCACCTACTGGGGTGAAACTGCCAGTCTAAAATCTCACTGCAGTCCCACTATATTTCAAGGCATTTCTTTTAGTAAATCTGATGTTTTAGGCCCCAGCCTTGTGACTGGCTGCAGAAGGGTGGATCCAGGAGCCTGCAGCAGGGTTTGTGGATACAGCTGTGGTCTGTGAAGGACTGCAAGTACACGAGAACCCTAGTGATAAGGAAGCTATGGGAAGATACCAGGGCTCTATTGTGTTAGTTGGTGTGAGGGTCCTTGTCTGTATTTTTTTGTCTACCACATGGCTCTATCCAGCTATTATCCTGGCTCTCCTATCTCTTCCTGTGTCCCTGCAAGTGGGGGAACCAAGAGAGGTGT